ATAAGAACAAAGAACTTGTAGAAAGTCAAGCATTGCGCGTGGCGGAGTGCAACATGCCACGGCAGACGCAGTTCCGCGCACATCTCTCGCGATTTGGGCCAGTTACAACCGGAAGGTTGGAATGGCCGTGAGCGGTGGTGGGTTGGGTGGCGCCTCGTTACTCTCCGCCACCTGCGCCCGAGCCACCCAGTCGCGCCGCAGTACGTCTCCGCAGAAGCGTCGAGACCCGTCTCCGCGCCCTCCAGCTCGGTGCGAAGCAGCACCACCGCGACGCGCGTCCGTCTCCGCCGTAGGCGTTGAGAGTCCCGCCGTCGCGAATACGAGTATCGAGAGCGATATCGCCATCCCTCTCCCGCGAATTGGACGCTATCTACCCGCGACAGTGACGCTTTTTTGTGTTGTGCCGTGCAAAAATAGGGCAAGTGAGGGTAGGCTGACATTGAAAAGTACCCACCGAATATTTGCAAAAATATCACGGAGGTACTCGTTCATCGCGACTACCCCCCTCACTAAAACTTTTTATTCTCCGACCCGCGAAGATTCGCGATATTCCGACATCCTGCAAGTCCTGCAAAATGTCGGACGGCGAGGAAGTGCCGCCCCCACAGCGCCAGCCGGCGTACAGGCCTCTTGCGAGGCCCGCTCAGCCCGCCGCCGCCGCCACGAGCGGCCAGCCGAGGCAGCGCCCGGCCGCGCTCAGCCGCGAGCCGACCGCAGCGACCCAGCAAGGGCCCCCCGCCCCCCTCCCCGGCCGCGACAGCCACCGCCGCCCCAGACACCACCCGGACTCCTCAGAGGGGTCGCTCTCCGAGGAGAAGGGACCAAGAGTCGGGCCCTCGCCGAAGCAGAGGGCATCGACACCCGAACCACAAATCTCACCGATAGAGAGGTATGTCCCGGGATACCGCGGGGAAAACACCCTGCGGACCCCTACCGCATCCCCGGTCAGGTCCGCCTCAGCGCCCGCTTCGCCATCCGCCCACGGCTCCTCGGCCCGTTTCTCCTCGGAGGGCCGATCAGGCACGACAGCCGAAGGCAGCCAGCCGAGTGGGACGCTGGCCCCCCAGGTGGTCTCCGACGAGGACTACCTGGACTACGTAGCTCCTCGGCCGGCCTCATCTAACTCCACGGCCCCAACGTCCTACGCGGCGTTGAACAGCCCCGCGCGGACGTACGCCGCGACACTGAGTGCTCCCTCCCCCCACCCCCCCCAACCGGAACAGGGGCAAGAGGTCGAGCTGATGGACGTAGCGCCACCTACGACCGACCCCGCCACGACCGCACGCACCCAACGGGCTTACCCACCAATAGTGGTGGAGAAACTGCCAAACTGGACTCAGCACTTTCGGGAGCTGAGCCAGAAGTTGGAGCATCCTCCAAACGCACGGCCCTACAAAGCTGGTGTGCGCTTCATCGCACGCACACCAGAAGAGTACAGGGTGGTACAGCGCCACCTAGTCGAGGCAGCAGGGCAAGACCAGAACCTGCACTGGTTCTGCTACTCGCTGCCGACGAAGCTCCCCACGAAGGTGGCCAACCGAGGCCTCCCTGCAGACACCGACCCTGCCGAACTCAAGGCGGCCCTCGACAAGCTGGGCTTCAACGTCCAGCACGTAAAGCACATCCCCCCGAGGAGAGGCAGAGCAGGCTGCCTATACCACGTTCAACTGGACCACCTGGACCAGCAGGAGCTCTCCCGCCTCTACGCGGTGACTGAGCTCCTGTACATGCCAGGCATTGTGGTCGAGGCCTGGCGAGGACGCAGCGGACCCGCCCAATGCCATCGCTGCTAGATGTTCGGCCATGCCTCCGCTGGCTGCCACCGCCCGCCGAGATGCGTGCGCTGTGGGGAGGGGCACATTGTCGCGGACTGCCCCCACCCGCGCGACCACACCCCCAAGTGCGCGAACTGTAAAGCCGCGCACACGGCGAAAGACCGCCGCCTCCCCGCCTTCATGCGTGAGGCACGCGCAAAGGGGGCCAAAACGCACCCCCCCATACCAGACCAGGGGGGTCGCCCAGCTAAGGTAGGCCACCGCCCGCCCCCTCCAGGGACAGCGAGGCAACCACGCCCTACCCCGGCGCTACACCAACCACGCCCTGCCCCGGTGTCGTCTAACACGCACCAAACGGCAGAAGGCCCAATCCAGGGCGCAACGCTGATGGCCCCAGCAAACCCCCCAACAGACCGTACAGCCCGCCCTCAACATGCACCTGCGTCCTCGCGACGCCGAAATGACTTCAAGAGTGGAGACGGTGTTGACTCTCAGTGCAGCAGAGAAGAGGGAGCTGTTCGCAGTTCTAGGGAAAACAGACGATGAGACACGAGAGGTGTTTGGCCTGTCCCTCACAGACACTGAATGGGCGTCAACGCTTCACATCAGCCAGGTGGTGGCATATCAGGGATTTGACCCGTTGAGGGTGATTGCCGAGTTTATGAAGAAAGGAAAAGCATCGCCTGGGGAAGAGATGAGGGGACGTGAGCGTGCAGGTGTGTGTGGGTACCAATCCAAAGGTGGACCTGCAGTTCCTGCTCACCCTTTTCATAACCAGAGGGAACAAACAATGCGGCTAAGATACTCCTCAAGTGTGACTCATCAGTGAAGAATGTCATACAGCGGAAGTGCAACCAGTATGGCATCAGCACTACAGCCAAAGCTGGGGCTGGTCCACTAGGACCATCAGTCATCACTCTGGCCAGGCTGTCACAGGCGTTTGCCCCTGCCACTGCCTCAATAATATTGGGCCATTCCATAGCCGGCAACCTTAAGACAAAACTGTTTTCTGGGGTTGTGCTTCCGATAATCATGACCCACACGATCTTCCCGGCCCTTTTGAGGGAGACAGACAGTGAGCTCATTGAACTGGCTAAATACCTCAATATGGAGATGTCTATAATGCTAAGCACCCCGAAGGATAAGAGGAAGATGGCTGGGATGACCATGTCAGACCTGCTAGAACAGTCCGAGTCTTTTGTCATGGCTGCAGTGAATGGGTCCGTGTCCACCCCTGCCATAAAGAAGAAGGCGCTGATCAAAGCTGGTGTTCTGATGGCCAATGACACCTTCTCGCCAACTGTTCAGGCCATGATCGGCTTGTGCGGGAGGTTACACTCCCTGGGGTGTGAGACATATGCATCTGCCACGAAGAAGATGGCAGAGTTCACGGCCCCAAACTAAACCGGGATCATGGGGAAGCACCGAGCCTGATCCCGAATCCAACGGTGCGTAACGAGGCTCATGTGAGATGAGGACTGTCACAGTCGGGGACGTGAGCGTGCAGGTGTGTGTGGGTGCCAATCCAAAGGTGGACCTGCAGTTCCTGCTCACCCTTTTCATAACCAGAGGGAACAATGTGGCTAAGATACTCCTCAAGTGTGACTCATCAGTGAAGGATGCCATACAGCGGAAGTGCAACCAGTATGGCATCAGCACTACAGCCAAAGCTGGGGCTGGTCCACTAGGACCATCAGTTAATATTGGGCCATTCCATAGCCGGCAACCTTAGGACCAAACTGTTTTCTGGGGTTGTGACCATTATTTAAAAAATAAATTTATAGTGACAACAGATAAATACTATCTGAATAAATATTGTAAAAGACTTATAGCGAATTCGCTATCATATTAAATAAAATATTCAGCCATTAATTTGGTTAACCAAACTGCTTTTATTGAGCAGAACATGGATGTTCGACCCTTGGAATCTCTTCCAAATCATAATTTAAATTACATCATAAGACTATAGAGGATAACTCTAGCATACAAAATTCGGGTACAAAAACATTTCAATGTTTTAATTTAGTGCATCAAAATATACAAGGCTTCTGCAGCAAAGACTTGGAAAATTGAGTTATTTATCCAAGAATTGAATATTCATGTCTTATGTTTAACGGAACATTGGCGCAGGCAATATGAACTAATGATGAGCAGTTTGACTTTAGAGCCAAACACTCTTGCGTCCAACAGGTGCATCGCATAGTCGAGCACACGTTAGCTGGCTTTTACAACCACAACAACTAAAATCTTTTACGCCCAACTGCGGTCCCCTTCGACCCGTTCCTTTTTCTCACGGTGTCGGCACGTGCCCGGCCGCAGAAACCAGAAGTTTGAGGACACGGCGGTGAATAGTGATCACGGCAAAATAGTGAAACAGACAGAAATTGTGTGTTGTGCAGTGGTACGGGCGGGACATAGTGACGCGGGGTGCAATAAGTAGAAAGACTCGAATACGTCGCAACGGTGTGACATAGCGAAGGAAAAAGATGTTTTCAGTGTCTACGCTTCCGCGCGCGTGCACAATTGTAAAAGGAACAAGTGCAATATAGACGGATATGATAGTGTTCACCATCGTACGCTCCATTACGCCAAAAGGAAGGAGCACAGTGAAGTCGTCGGTTCAACATGGACGGTGAAGGGCACGCAAGCTGTCAAGGACAGAATTTAAAAGTAAATTAGAAAAAAAAGAATAAAGATGTTCACTTTCAAACAAACGCAATACGGTCTTTCATTTTGCTCTCTTCGTACAATCTTCGTGTCGAATTATGTAGAGAATCACAAGCCTTCCTCAAGATAGTGCCTGTGCAGATTCAATAATGGCCCGCGCAAGAAGATCAACACTCAGGCGTTGCTCGACGATGGGTCGACAATCACGCTCAACGACGAAGACATCGCGCAGCAAGCCGGCCTGCACGGACCGCGGGAGCCTCTCACATAGAGGCCATCGGGAGTGCGCGGGTGGACACCTCTGCCTCCCGAAGGCTCAACATCGCGATCAACCGGTCCGGGCAGTGCAAGCAACACCGCATACGAGCGCGCACAATCAAGAACATGAAGCTGTCACCGCAGAGTGTCAAGAGTGAAGACCTAGTAAGATGCGAACATCTGAGTGACATAAGTGAAAGTGTAGTGCTACATAGTGCGCGGCCACAGATACTGATCGGCCAGGACAATTGGCAACTGCTCATCGCACAGGAACAAAGAATAGGTAAACGACACCAACCTATGGCTTCACTAACACCGCTCGGCTGGGTGCTACACGGCACGTGCAGTCGCACCGTCGGACATAGAGTGCACTTCACGCAAGAAATAGAGAGCGATGACCGCCTTGACTCGGAGCTCAAGAACTTCTTTTCGTTGGAGGCTCTGACTATTGCCCCTAAGTTGCCTCGCAACGACCCCGAAGCCCGAGCACTGAAGATATTGGATAAAAAGACCACACGGTTAGTGGATGGGCGTTTCCAGACCGGGTTGTTGTGGAAGGTGGAAGGCTGAAGATGTCAAGATGCCTGAAAACCGAGACTACGCCCTCAGGAGGCTGGAAGCCACTGAAAGAAAAATAGAAAAGGACCCGGAAGTCAAGGGCAAAGTCATAGAACAAATGGACGCGGCGGCGAAGACAAGAGGAATGGCACTCAACGACGCGCTTCTCACCGGGCCCGACCTCCTGCAATCCCTACCCGGCGTGCTCATGAAGATGCGTCAGCACCGGGTGGCCGTGTCTGCAGATATTGCTGAGANAATTTCACCTGCGTTTTGTTATTTATCAAGCGCGGCATTGTAATAACTCGCACACACACACTGCAATACGTTTGGGCTCAACATTGGCCTTACTGGGACGATTGTTTATGTTGTTGCGCTCCCGCATGCCGATCGGCGGCTCGGCGCGGGCTGTGGGCGCGGAGCGACTGGCACTACTGGCAGCGATATCAATATGGCCGACTCACGCGGCGCGGCACGTGGCAGCGGTCGTTGCCCTCGGCCGGCTACTACGATAGTGCGTAAACGAATACTCACCGCGCTCAAAGGATGATTTATTTTTTATTTTTTTCGAAACATTCTTTGTCGTTTTACTCGAAAACTAGCCTGAATTTTTTTTTAAAAACACTTGGGTTGTATTTGTATGATTTTATTAGATGCGTTGGTAAAGTATGATCAGTATAAAAAATAACACCTTATATACTTGAAACATGTGTATTTGTAAAGAATAATAAGCATCATTTCTGTGAAAAAAGTAAAATTAAAAAGAATCTTAGATCTCAACATGCTTATAACATTTGTATTTTGAAATCATCAAGTTATATTTATAGCAAGAGTACCTTGATTACAGGAACTCGAGTGTTTAACCATTTGCCTAACTGTATAAAAGCACTAGAAAACCCGCAATTCAAACAGAAATTGAAAGAATGGTTGTTGCAGAAATGTTTTTATAACCTAGATGAATATTTTAATAACTTTTGACATAATATTATTTATTGACATTTGTTTTTTATTATTATTTTAAATTTTCTATTAACATATTGTACATCCAAAATGGATAACTGTTGAAGCCACTAAATTATTGTTACCACCTTTTGTACACAGTTTTGACAATAAAATTAGGATTATGATTATGATTATTAGGATGGTGCACGACGCGGCGGTGAAAACGAAAGGTATGGCGCTCAACGACGCACTTCTCACCGGGCCCGACCTCCTGCAATCCCTACATTGCAGAAATGTTTCTTCAGGTCAAGATCATCCCAGAGGACCGGTACGCTCTACGGTACCTCTGGCGGGGGTGCGACAGGACAGCTCCACCCCAAGAATACAGAATGACCTCGTTAATCTTCGGGGCCACATCCTCACCAGCTACTGCAATTTACATGAAAAACAGAAACGCAGAAGAGTTCGCTGCGCGCGCAATATCCAAAGGCCGCGGCAGCTGTAAGAGACAACCACTATATGGACGACTACATCCAGAGCTTCGAGAACGAAGAGTCGGCCATCGAGATCGCCGCCCAAGTACGCGACATCCATCGCCGAGCGCACTTCCATCTGCGCAAGTGGATCTCCAACTCGCCGCGGGTGCTGCAGGAGCTGGAAGAGGAGCAGGCGCTCGAGGAGCGCTCCCTGGGCCCCAAGAACGAAAAGGTCCTAGGAATGATATGGAAGACGTCATCCGACGCATTGAAGTACAACTTGGACCTGAGCCGACTGCCCGACGACATCCTACANTTCTCGTTGGAGGCCTTGACGATTGCCCCTAAGCTGCCTCACAACGACCCCGAAGCCCGAGCACTGAAAATACTGAAAGAGAAAACCACGCGGTTAATGGACGGACGCTTCCAAACCGGGTTATTATGGAAAAACGAAGATATCAAGATGCCTGAGAACAGAGACTACGCCCTCAGGAGGCTGGAAGCCACCGAGAAGAAAATAGAAAAGGACCCAGAGGTCAAGGGCAAGGTCATCGAGCAGATGGAGGCCCTGGTGAAGAAAGGATACGCAGAACTCGCGCCCGTCAATAGCGACAGTGACAAGAGATGGTACCTGCCCTGCTTCCCGGTCTTCAATCCTCAGAAGCCGGGAAAGATCAGGATGGTGCACGACGCGGCGGCGAAAACGAAGGGTATGGCGCTCAACGACGCACTTCTCACCGGGCCCGACCTCCTGCAATCCCTACCCGGTGTGCTGATGAAGATGCGTCAGCACCGAGTAGCGGTGTCTGCAGACATTGCAGAAATGTTTCTTCAGGTCAAGATCATCCCAGAGGACCGGGACGCTCTACGGTACCTCTGGCGGGGGTGCGACAGGACAGCTCCACCCCAAGAATATAGAATGACCTCGTTAATCTTCGGGGCCACATCCTCACCGGCTACTGCTATTTACGTGAAAAACAGAAACGCAGAAGAGTTCGATGCGCAATATCCAAAGGCCGCGGCAGCTGTAAGAGACAACCACTATATGGACGACTACATCCAGAGCTTCGAGAACGAAGAGTCGGCCATCGAGATCGCCGCCCAAGTACGCGACATCCATCGCCGAGCGCACTTCCATCTGCGCAAGTGGATCTCCAACTCGCCGCGGGTACTGCAGGAGCTGGAAGAGGAACAGGCGCTCGAGGAGCGCTCCCTGGGCCCCAAGAACGAAAAGGTCCTAGGAATGATATGGAAGACATCATCTGACGCGTTGAAGTACAACTTGGACCTGAGCCGACTTCCCGACGACATCCTACTCCGGAAGCCCACCAAGAGGCAGGCCCTCCAGGTGGTCATGTCCCTATTCGACCCCCTGGGCCTCGTGTCGCCGGTGACAGTCCAGGCGAAGCAAATACTTCAAGAGATTTGGAGGCGGAGCACCGCGTGGGACGAGCATCTACAGGATGACCTGGCGGAGAGGTGGGCCAAATGGGTCCAGCAATTGGAAGCCCTCCGTGCCATCGAGATACCCCGGTGCTACCCTCACTTCACTCAAGGCGACAATCTCCAATTACACGTATTCGTCGACGCCAGCGAGACCGCCTACGCCGCCGCCCTCTATTGGCGGGTGGAAGACAGCGACGGGCGGGCGCACACGACACTGGTCCTGGCTAAGAGCCGGGTCGCGCCGCTGAAGACCACCTCGATTCCCCGCCTGGAGCTGCAGGCCGCAGTTATGGGTACGCGGATGGCGAGCTGCGTCCTTGAAGAACACGACCGAAAGCCGACAACAAGGACGTTCTGGACGGACAGCCGAACGGTCCTCACGTGGCTACGAACGGGCGCACGGTCCTACAAACCGTTTGTGGCGCACCGTATAGCAGAGATTGAAGAAAACACCAAGATAGAGGAATGGCGCTGGGTGCCCACCAAGATGAACGTCGCGGACGACGGAACGCGCGACGTGCCCAGGGACTTCGACAGTGAGCATCGATGGTTCAACGGGCCCAGTTTTCTGCGGGACGACCCAGCGACCTGGCCAACCGAAGAAAGGAAGATTCAGCAAGACACCGGGGAGGAAAGAGCAAATTTGATAGACAGGAGAGCCACAAAGCTGCTAGAAGTGATCCCGCAGTGCGACCGGTTCTCCAGGTGGGAGAGGTTCGTGCGAACCACCGCTCGCGTCCTGCAATTTGTTGACAGATGCAGGCCGACAACGAAGCAGGCTGCTTACGCACGGACGCGGGCCAACAAGGTGGCAGACCCCACCTGGAGGAAGCCGCAGTCACGAGACACCAGAGGGCGCGGTCACAAGAAGGAAGTACAGCAGACTGAAGACAAGTTCGTGGCCCTCCCGGCAGAGCTCCTCATCCGGGCTGAAGATTTAATAGTGCGCGCGTGCCAGGAAGACAGTTTCAGAGAAGAGATCCACTGTCTGTCCCAGCATCGACGCGTCAATCGAGATAGCAAGTTATTCAAGATCGCAGTGGAGTTGGTTGACGGGTTATTGACCATCAAAACCCGTATAGCTGCAGCCGAAGACGTCCCGGAGGCGGTAAAGCGGCCGCCTGTCCTAGACGGCCGTCACCACATCGCAAGGCTGTACATCGGGCACGTGCATCGCAGCGGTCACCACCAGGGGGTGGAGGCCACCATCAACGAGTGCCGGCAGAGGTTCCACATCCTGGGACTTCGGCCGACGGCACGCAGCATCGTGCACCAGTGTACGCCGTGCCGCCGACGACGGTGGGCGCCGCCTGCGCCCCCGACCGGGGACCATCCCGCCGGTCGGCTCGCGCACCATCAGCGCGCCTTCACCTTCACGGGCGTCGACTACTTCGGGCCGCTGCTCACCACCGTGGGGAGAGCCACCAAGAAGACCTACGTGGCCCTGTTCACGTGTCTCACGACGCGTGCGGTCCACCTTGAGATGGCGGCATCACTCACCACCGACTCCGCGGTGATGGCACTGCGGCGGTTCGTCGCGAGACGAGGCTGTCCCAGAACCATCTGGTCCGACAACGGGACCAACCTCCACGGCGCCGAGAGAGAGCTCCGGCGCGCTATCGACAACGCGACAGAAGAGGAAGCGGCCAAGCGGAGGATAACCTGGCGCTTCATCCCTCCCGGCGCTCCTTTCATGGGCGGAGCGTGGGAGCGCTTAGTGAGGTCCGTCAAGACGGCCCTGTCGGCCGTGATGGACAGCCGACCGACCAGCGAGGAGACCCTCGCCACCCTGCTCGCCGAGGTTGAGATGACGGTGAACAGCCGTCCGCTCACCCACGTCTCTGTCGACCCGCAAGACCCGGAGACGCTGACCCCCAACCACTTCCTGCTGTTGGGGCCAGCCCACGCACCACCGGCGGGAGAGACCTCCCCGCAAGACCTCCTGGGCAAGGCGAGTTGGCGGACGGCGCAGCGCCTCGCCGACATGTTTTGGGCGAGATGGCTTCGAGAGTATCTGCCCGAGCTCCAGCACCGGCGGGAGCCCCATGGGAAGGGCCCTGCAGTCCAGCTGGGNCTGCAGGCGGCAGTCATGGGCGCGCGGATGACGAGCTGCGTCATAGAAAAGCACAACAGGAAGCCGACGTCTAGGACGTTCTGGACGGACAGCCGAACGGTCCTCACGTGGCTGCGAACGGGCGCACGGTCTTACAAATCGTTTGTGGCGCACCGAATAGCGGAAATAGAAGAAACCACAAAAATAGAAGAATGGCGCTGGGTGCCCACCAAGATGAACGTCGCGGACGACGGAACGCGCGACGTGCCCAGGGACTTCGGTGGAGAGCATCGGTGGTTCTACGGGCCCAGTTTTCTGCGGGATGACCCAGCGACCTGGCCAACAGAGGAAAAGGGAACTCAGCCAGCGACCGGAGAGGAAAGGACGAACCTAATAGACAGGAGAGCCACGAAGCTTCAGGAAGTGATCCCGCAGTGCGACCGGTTCTCCAGGTGGGAGAGGTTCGTGCGTACCACCGCCCGCGTCCTGTAATTTGTGGATAGATACAGGCCGATAGCGAAGCAGGCTGCTTACGCACGGACGCGGGCCAACAAGTTGGCCGTCCTAGACGGCAGTCATCATATCGCGAGGCTATAAAGTACATCGAGCACGTGCATCGCAGCGGTCACCACCAAGGGGTTGAGGCCACCATCAACCAGTGCCGGTAACGGTTCCACATATTGGGACTTCAGCCGACGGCACGCAGCATCGTGCACAGGTGTACGCCGTGCCGCCGACGACGCCGATAGTGGCTTCACCACCATCAGTCATTCGAAGAGGACCCGCAAATCACAATAAACCGCAAAAAACAATGATGGAGTCTGTGAGAACTAGCGAGTGATGTAGAATTCTTGTGGATCAGCGCTCTATTTGAAAAAGCCACTACATTAGAACATACAAGAGGAGCTATTACAATTTATCCTGACCCCAGAGAAGGAAGGGAGATTAGGATATACAATAAAAAGCTGATACCTAGAGTAATTAAAATGGGGAATCAAGTAGTTAACCTCAAGTATTACACCGCTATAACCACCGAGTTTCTTGCCAGCTCTTCTCGGTGGTTGCGACTTGCGAACCGGTGTAAATTCACGCGTCGCGACTATCACAACCTCTCCGGGTTCAAAGCCCACATACGAGCCAAGTCCCTAGCGAGTTCCGTTTACGAGGAGCCTGATTCCCTATCAAGCCCAGAGGACGCTCAGTGCGATCCTAACTCCGCCCCGCTACCGATTACTCTATCACCTTAGAACACCAAACCCATGGTCCCAGTAGGGACATGGAGTGAGTTTCCCGCAGTCTCGGACGCCGACAACGGTGGCTGTCAGTCATTCTAACTAAGAGGACCCGCAAATCCGCGGCCTCTCCCCCTCCTTCCCCATCAGCAAAGGCGCTGAAGGCTAACTCGGGCCTCTCCCAGCCCTTCGACTCACAGTTGAGTACTGGGCTGACTGTCAGAGTCATGGAACACACTCGAAAAGCACCATATCAACCTTTTACCAACACCGAGCCCTGACACGGTTTCTCGACGAGAACCGTATAAGTTACTTATCGCACTTTCCCGCGCGAGGAGGAAAGGGAGCTGCGGCTTATTGTCTGTGGCATCCCCAAAGCCCAAAAACTCCTCACGTCCCTCCTTAAGGCCGTCAAGCTAAAAAACGCGGAGGAGGTTGAGGTTATCTACAAAAATGTAGACTACATTAGGTAGATCTTTATATTGAGATTGAAGCGGCAGTCGAACACTTCACGACGCCTCCACCAGGACTTGCGCAAAAAGCGCCAACTACGCCACATGTGTGTAAAAACCCCGTGCCCAAGAGTCAAGGCCGATTAAAATCGCCTCACACATGTGCTGTCAGAAGCTGTGAAGAAAAGGCGCGGTGCTTGCTGGGAGAGTCGCATAATTACATCATGTGACAGACAACACCGCTGACCTCTTCAAACTCTCATCAAAAGAAGCCAAGGAGATTAGCGGCCTCGAAAATTCCCTTCTAAAGGAAGGAAGGAAGGAAAGAGAAGCCACTGGAAAAATCTAGCCGACTGAAGATGATCGACGTTTACCTGGATCAACGCCGGATCCTGAAGCTGAGGACGCGCACCAAGAAGATTGGTTCGGGAAAAGGACGGACCAACCCGATAATACTCGACGGGAAAAGTCAGATTGCCTGCTCGTCATAGGGTATTATCACAAGAAGTTCTACCATTGCAACTCTACGACGGTGATCAACGAAGTGACGCAGAAATTATTTGGAGACTACTGGTGAGCTGTAAGATATTGGAATTTTTGGTAATGATGGATCACACATGGGTGTCAATGGTGCAGAGTCCACAAAGGGGAGCCTCAAGTACCACCTACCGGAGACTTGCCGGCCGAACGTTTGCAGCATCCCTCCGAAAAATGGCTGCACGCAGAGGGACGTCGAAGGTAATCTTCAGCGAAAATGGAACCAACTTTGTGGGGGCAAATAGGGAATTAAAAGGTGCTGCCTCACAAAGAAGGGAATCGCATGGAGATTCATCCCACCTGGATATCCAAACATGGGAGGCTCCTGGGAGAGAATGGTCCGCTCAGTGAAGACGTCACTAATTGCTGTCCTTAAGGAGAGATCACCATCAGAAGAAGTCCTGCACACACTCCTCCTCGAAGTGGAGCATATTATAAACTCGCGTCCACCTACCCACATCACCGCAGATCCCAATATGAAGAAAGCCTGACGGTGAACCACTTTCTAATCGGAAGCGATAGCGCCGGAGCATTGCCACTACGTTGTTGAAACCTCTTCTTTACGTGGTTGAGGCGTTCCACTTGGGAGTTGGCAAAAAGGATTCCTGGCTCAACAATCTCCATCGGAGAAGAAAAGAAAGCAAAGATAACAAATAATATGGAGAGCACAAGAATGGACAGGAGTTGCAGCTTTCAGCAGCCAAGGGACTGAAGACGCAACTAAGTGGAATGAGTGTTTGGCCCTCAACAATTTGCCATCATGCATTATTCTAAATTTCACTCTATGCACAGACTAAGTTTGAATTGTATGAGTACTCCGAAGATAGCTTCTGTCTTTTTGTCAAAAGCTTGGAAAGGCCATTTGTTTTTCAAGCATGGAAGCAAGTACAGTTAGGGTCAGGTGTGCTTATTTATAATAAGCAATGACATTTTTTTCTTAAGGATACGATACGGCAAGCTCTGCTTCAGGGAATCGTACCCGAGAGACCCGCCTGGTACTCCGATCTCGTCTCCTCGGAGGCTGCGTGAATTCGCGGCTGGCATAGGAGGAGGACCGCTAGCGCTGCACGTGGTGTGTTGTACAGGCCCCAGAAGGGGGAGAAGAACTGCACAGAAGGGACAAGGACGTAGATTAAATAACTTGTAGCGNCTCGCCGACATGTTTTGGGCGAGATGGCTTCGAGAGTACCTGCCCGAGCTCCAGCACCGGCGGGAGCCCCATGGGAAGGGCCCTGCAGTCCAGCTGGGTGACGTCGTCCTGATCGCCGACAACACGCTGCCTCGCAACACCTGGCCGCTGGGGAGAATCGTGGCTACGTACCCCGGCCCCGATGACATCGTGCGAGCAGTGGACGTGCAGACCAAGGGCGGCATCCTACGGCGACCTACGAAGAAGCTGGTGGTGCTGCAGTCGACGACAGAGCCTGCGAACGTTCTTCCCACGGAGTGATGCGTCGCGGCTACGAGGCTTCACCACGACGCACGGCGGGAGAATGTACAGAACGTTNAGAGAGACGGCGACATCTCTGCATCGGGCGCTTCTTCTTCGAGCCTTCAACAACTCCCAGGCGCAACTCCAGTAACCCGTGGGGCGTACCCCACAAAATTATTACAAGCAAAGGTAAATATAATAAGTCGGCCAATCGTCAAACGAATAATTGAGTTAAAAAATTAGGGGTCCTTATAAGCTACGGAACCTTAAAACAATTTTTTTTTAATAATAATACAGCCCTTATGATAATTCAAGCTCGAGTATAACGCCGTATTTTATCTGAAAGAGGCGGTTATCGACTCATATCGCGTCATGTCGATAAGAAAATATCGAAAATACCTAACTTGTGGTCGCACAGACTAAAAATATTTTTCTAATTATTTTTATAGGTCTTGCTTGACCTTCACTGGTTGGGTTTTTATTGGCAGTCAAGCTGTAGATCCTGGCTACACAGGAGTTGCAGCGGTGGGAACTAGAGGTGGGAATAGTCCCATGATAGATTTACCTACTAAAATAATTTAAACGACTTTTTGAAATATTTTTTTACTTTTCTTAGGAAAAGGAAGTTTCAAACAGAAATCAAACTATGTATATGGATACATTATATTATAAATACATATTTTTTACTTTATTCGCAATTTTTTCGTAAATGGCTGAACCGATTTTAATGCTGTTTGATTTATTCTAATAACAATCAATAAAGCAATTATTTAAAACAATATTATTAAAATTGTATCGTCACTAAATGGGTAAATATTAAATACCTTCAATACGATAAAATAAATAGTAAATGACATAAGTAGACCTTTATCTAAGATAAATAACTTAAGAAACATAAACAATTAAAATAAAATAAAAAATAAATTAATAATATTATTTAAGTTTAAATTATAGCATTTTTTATAATAAAATTAAATCTACTATTTATGAATAAGTAGCCCTGACCCCTATGCCGCTATGCGTGACCCTGACTGTACATTATTATTTATTCTCCTTTGTTCGTCCAGATTTAAAACATTCGAAGTTCAAATATTCAAACACCAAATAACATAACAGATACCTACAAAACATTCACGTTCAAAATTCAAATGAATTCGAAATTCAAAAATTAAGCACGGCCATGGCATCGCCGATAATGCCACAACTGCTACATGTTCACGTAAACTCACACATANCGTAAACTCACACATGCACGCGATATGATTTCAAAACTGAAGTAACCTACTGAAGACTGAAAAAATATATTTCTTCCTTAGAAAAGGTATAGAATTGGAAATCGTTAGTTTGCATCGACCAAATCGGTTTTTGCGGAAATCTAGCGCTGGTCTAAAAATAAATTAACTAAATACCGGACAAACTGTATGAGCGCGCAGTATAAGTGAAAGTTACACATAATAATCTGGGAAGATTTTTTTACCCAACTGCGCCAGAAAGAGGGTTATGTTTTTACCCGACTGCGCCAGAAGGAGGGTTATGTTTTTCGAGTGTATGTATGTATGTATATTTCTTTGGCACGGCCTACAGCCTAAACGGCTTGACCGATTTTAGCGTGAGTGAGAGTGACACTGGCTATATTAAAATTAAAAAAAAAAAAAACAAAATGACGGATTTTAGGCGCCATAAGTCTNAGCAGTCGTGTGCAGCAGTGTGGCTCCGCGGAAGCGTCGTAGACCCTCTGCCCGACTACTACCCGCGCGCGAGCCGATCCGCCGCGATACCCTCCGCCACCTTCGCCCGATCCACCCAGTCGCGCCGCAGTTCGTCTCCGCCTCAGATCATAGAAGGGAATAGATGTGAAACGGGGGCGTGGCGCGTGTCTCCGCGATATGCCCAGAAACGAACATCGGCCGCGTAACTAGGTTAGTCGCGATTCAGTCGTACTAAGGAAATGTTCTCCGAATTTTTTGGATAATGCGTCGTTACGTGCAATAAAACAAGTGAAACGAAGAACTACAGGNAAGGTTACTTTTGTAACCTTTTAGGTTACTTTTGAACTGCATTGGTTACTTTTAGGTTACACTAATGAAAAGGTTACTTTTAGGTGGTTTTTCAGAAATTGTAGAATTAACTTTTACAGGTTATTCAGTAAAAAATATTAATAGTGACAATTTAAAAATTATGTCATAAACTGCATTTAAACATGAATTTGATTTATTATCTATATATATAAAAGAAAGTCGTGTTAGTTACTCCACTTATAACTCAAGAACGGCTGAACCGATTTAGCTGAAATTTGTCAGGGCGGTAGTTTAGAGCCAGGAGAAGGACATAGGAAACTTTTTATCCCTTATTTATATTTCTCGCACCGGGCGCATAAAAGGCTAGTTACGGCACTGACTACAGATGATATAATTTTGTAAATCAGTAGCTACGAATTCTTACATAACCGATGCTAATTGCTAGATAAAAATACGGTATACCTACACGAGCACAAAATAATCCTCCCTCAGACACTACCGTGTAGAAAATGTTCATGAAGAAAACATCTCATGTGTTGTCTTTTCTATGTCATCCACACTGCACTGTCTCTGTTGGCAAGATTAAGAAGAGGTGCAGCATGATGGAGATGGACAAGGATAGGCGCATTATAAATCTTTATTAAGTTCTGGCAGTTAGTCAAAACAGTGTGTGTATCGACTATGTTACGACACAAAATCATTAATGGACAATAATTACTTTAATGCTATAAAAATTGACGAAACTGTATTTATCAAGTTTTACAAAAATAAATCTTCCAAAGTACGGCAGATATCCATTTACTGATTCTTGCATAAATAGTATAAGTCGCGGCCAATATCGCCATGCTAGTATGGACACTTAATGACTTTTTGTAGTTATTGACTTCTTGCAATCAGCCGACGATATATTCATAAGGATAAATACCTTTTCTACGCAATAATGCAAATTGATGTTCATTTAGACAAATTTTATGTAAATGTGTGAAGTCAGCATGGTTAAGATTATTAGCCAACTGTTCTAAACTGGTGCCCATAAATTTAAATGTATCAACAAATCTTGCTGCAACAAAAGTATCGTCTGAAAGAGGAATAAACTTAGTAAAGGAGATGTAATTTTCCTTGAGAGAGAGACAGCGATATCTCTGCATCGGGCGCTTCTTCTTCGAGCCTTCAACAACTCCCAGGCGCAACTCCAGTAACCCGTGGGGCGTACCCCACAATATTATTAAAGTTAAAGTTGAAAGATGCAGGCAGCTACCAACCAGGCAATATGGAAATCATTGGGGGAGCCTATGTTCAGCAGTGGACATCCTGTGGCTGAAATGATGATGATGAAATAATAATCACCTGGTGGCCAAATCAGCATCATCCTGGTAGTTGATCAGGTTAACAACAGCGTGCTTCAGCATTTGCGAAGGCTCGGACAGCCGCTGGACAGCAGTTGGCTGCGCTGGGTCCAGCTGGGTGGAGGGAATCTCAATGCCCTCCTCCAGGGTCTCAGGGAACATAGCAGCTCGGACACGTTGTGAACGCGTCTGTGATAGCTGCTGGTTCATGTCTAGAAGGAAATAGAAAGTTACACAATATTCACTAGATACTGAAAATGAAACAAAATAATTTATTGCCTCAGAAATTAATATGGATGTATAGTAAAAATATCAGAATGTAACACATACCTTCAACTTGCTCCTGAGTAAAACCCTGGGCAAACCCTTGGTCCAAGTCGAACATGAGTTGATCTCCTTCCATCTCATCATCTTCCTTGCCAGTGAGAGATGGCACCTGTAACGAGACACAATAAAAAATAAGCCTGAATAATTTTTAACACTAAAACTAAACATTTTAACTTTAAAAGAAAACTATGAAGAGTTTACTAAACAATAATAATATTTACGATTACATCACATTCTTATTTTCTTTATAAGTTAAGAAATTTTTGATTAATCATAGCAAAATAGTCTCTGAAAGGTACAATAACCTAAACTAATAGGACAAAGTTATACCTGAGTGGCTGCTCCGGAGTTGATACCAGAATCCACCAGGTAGGAATTCTGCTGCCACATGAGTGTTTGCTGCTCCTTGCTCGGAGCCATTGGCACATCGGAGCCACCATAGTTGCTGTGTGACACTGGAAACAAAATGTAACACTTATATTGTTACATTCACTCATTTAAGGTGACAAATAAAAGAATAGCACTATAAATAATCTTGTGACCTTACAAAAATACAAGTAACTTCGGTGTAAATTACAGAACAAACCTCAAAACTGTTGATTTTCAAGCATTGATTGACTTGATTGATTGTCTAATGAATTGATTCTCAAAAGTTTGACATGTTCAACATTGTTCCGTTGGAAGAAAATTGATAAATGAACAAACCTAAGATTTAATTTTGAAACATAATGTTACATTACATCTTTACATTACATTATAATCTTATAATGCACCCAAATGTTGCACAGAAATGGTTGAGGTAAATAGAACTTCAAAATTTGATCTGTTCTGATGAAACAAAACAGTAAATATTATTAGATATTTTTATAGCTATTAATAACAATTAAAACATTCTAATTATATTACAACAGTATTCTATTTATTTCCTAATCTTCAACTCTAATGATTTTTTAAATTAATCACATTCATTTCAATTAAATAGTTTTGTAACATGTAGCTGTACAGTTGTTTATAATTAGTATAGTTAAAGAAGACAAACAAAGAAGCTATTTTGGAACCAATTAAAATTCTTTGAACAAACATAATTACAAAATACTATCTTTCTTTGTAGTGTCAAGAATGGTCTTTGATGTCAAATTATGATGTCTACATCAAACATCTGAAGCACCTTGTTAGAAGAAACATGAATGATATCTATTGAACATAATTTAATGCTGACATTCCCTCATAGTTCAAAGAACACAACTTATAGCACAACAGAAGTGTATAAATTAACTGTAGATTAGGAGAGCTCAGGTAGAAAATGCTATCTGCATGAGTCACAAACTTACTGCAGGCTATCAAATCACAAAACTAGTTTATACCCAAAATATATAACTTAACATCTATCCACCATATAATTACTATCATTAGCTCATATAGGGATTGGACTACTCACTCGTGCGGCTTTGCGACGATGGTATTTGGTAGCTCATGGTTCAGCGGATGCAATAATGCACCCTGAGTCTGGAAACAAAAAAATATTTATTGTAAATGCAGATCTTGCTACTGTTATCAGCGAGTCTTTCAAATTCCTTGAACACAGTACATGACTGAAGAGCTTTCTGCAATCGATGGGTCAATTATTGAACGAAATAAAACAAACAAAATGTATCCCGTGAACTAAATACCACACCCCGAGTACATTGCGTTGATGTTTTATGATCCAAATCGGAATAAAGACAATATGTTATTGTGAAAATTGAATGAGTAGAACACTGACCTTTATTATTATGACCACTAATCACAGAAAATAATCTTTTTATGTTAAATTTTCGAAAAAATACGCACAACACGACCAGACAGCGTCACAAAAAACTGACATTCAATAAACATGGCGTCGGCCGACAACTTCGTAGTGTTTCGCTTACAATCGGGTAGTGTCGGTAGTTATATAGCCAATTCCCTCACACTCGTAGTCTACAGCTAGCTTTATCTCACTTACTCGTCAAAGGAAAGTAGTACCAATATAACAAAAAAATATTTTTGACGTTCCGTTCCACTGCTTAGTTTCCAATGGAATGTAATTAAAAACATATTTTATAATAAGAGACTTTTGCCTACGCAGAAATGTTTTTTATTTGAATAACTTATTTTTTAGCGGGAGTTTCAGACCTAATACAAAAATATTTTACAACAAAACATAAAATTAAAAAAAAATCCTACAAAATAACATCAAATTATTTTTATTTGTAACTTTATTTTTATAAACATCAAATGAGACAATTAATGACAACAACGTGGTAGAGTTTCAAAAAGCAGGTGGTAAAACTTAATTTTATTAAGTAAATTGGAAGAACCGCATCAAAACTTTTGCTGATTTATTAAAGTTGCGATAATTTTACAATGGCTTCCAGTGTTTACACCATCCCCAACTTCAGCCGATTCAGTGTATTCACATACAGTCGGTTCAATTTATCTGAAAGTGAATCGGATATTTGCGTATTCATCAAAGAATACAAAGATCGCATAAAAAGACAGCTGCTCCGAGAAGAAGAGAATGACAAAACTCCATTTATATCGTTTGCCGAGAAGAAACCTAGTTCAGCCAACGTAGCATGGCTAAATGAAAACTACAAGAGATTCTTTCAATACACGCCGAACGAATCGGTCCTCAAACTACATTTTCTCTCCGATCTAGGTTTTATTAATTGCATGGTGTATTCTCCAGATGGAAATTTTATTGTTGTTGGACATTCAAGTGGTTTGATTCAGGTAAGTAGGTAGGTACCTAAGTAGGCGCCTACTACAAGAGTGCATGCAATTTTAGCATTTTTGCACATTATAAAAGTCAGGCGCTTCTGCAACATTTTGATATAACATAATAATAACAACATAATAATATGTAATAGTACGGCCTTAACTAAACGTAAGTAGGTACCTAGTAGGCCATGGTTTCAACATGGACCATTTTGAAATTGTCGCGGAATTTACAAAACGCATAAATTTGCATTACGATGAAGGGAAACACCATACAATTTGGTATCCCATGTTCTATCAAGGGACAATCGACGATAGGAATAAATACGCTTGGGTGAAAGAAAACCACAATAGATTTCTGAAAGGTACACCAAACGATATCGTCTATAACAGATGGTATTACGCTGAAACGGGTTATATCACAGCTCTTGAGTATTCTCCAAATGGATCTCATATTATCGTTGGTCATTCATCAGGATTGATTCAGGTACAGCGCGGACCTTTGTCATGATTTAATAAATTTCAGACAGGGCGTTACAAGGGTGAATCTGATCTAGGCACTTTCAGAGAATTAGTGACGCAGCACAATTTTCGGCGATGGCTATCTGCTTAGATTTAAGAGCTAGTAAAATCTTCGCGTAATTGCTTTTGGAGGCGATTAAAAATGCCTCGAGGGTTTTTAAAAAGTACGCAAGCGTGTTTAATTATTTTTTATTGCTTTTGGCCGCAGCTTTGTCTAAACTAATATAACATTTATGAGGAGATAGAACAATACCCACGTTATAAAGTATTGTTTTCATTTATGTAGTAAGTTTAAAATGTTACAACGCATAGCTACCCTGTTTAGAGGTTGTTAAGGAAGATTACGGGACCCACTACACTGGGGCTGCTCACGTTAGGAAAACCAGTTCTCCTGATTTCAGGACAGTTACCATGCATGAATTTTTAGGTATGATCCTACACCTGCTGTTTGAGATGTCACAAGCTAGCTTCTATTTACTTGTGCATTAATGCTTCAACCACACCAATGCCTGCAGATTGCTATTGCCGACGCGATCATACTTTAGGCCAATGACAGGTCGCGCGACCCATGGTTTTTTTTTTATGTGACAGGAGGTATTGGTGTGGTTGAAGCTTAAGACATCATTTAGTAGGTATAGGAGCTTACCCACTATACTTGGTACTACACTATAAATGGTAACTCTTCATAGATGCGTCATGGGCAGACTGGGGTGGTGCTGTACACCCTCCGCAACATCCAGTTTCCACCGAAGCCGATTTACTCTATCTGCTTCAGCCGCTTGGACGACAAAGTTTGCTACGCGTCCTGCATGGACGGCACCGTTTACCGCATTGAAATTCCGAATGTGAGTTCTTGTTTCACTGATACATAAATATGTAGCAGTTTACCTGGAATTAGTCGTCCTAAAATAGTAGAGTTTAATTCACGATGTGAAATATGTACGGTTTATAATTTTGTTTCATGTGTTCTCGTACAATAACTTTTGGTTCATCGTGGTAGTTTACTTTTTTTTTAATAGATATGTATTGAGTGATTCACTGTCTAAACACGAAATATCATGAGCAAAACCAACCAGAGGCTGAAACGTACAAGCACTGTGAGCGAAGGGGATATGTAGAGTTTGCACATAACGTAAATAGGCGTCAGCTTATTTACTTAGGTACCTAATTAGGCATTGGCCTGCTTATTTACTTAGTTATAATGTTTTTGTAAGCAGATGAACTTCTCAACTGAAGAGGTCCCAAAATACTGTATTCGAACTGACCCAGGCTTGGAATCCTTGAACATGCAGTTTTACGGGGCTCCCGGAATGTCAACTCATGCGCAACCCTTTATTTCCCGTGAGTTTCTTCTACCCAGCATCTCTTCATTAGCATCGTCATCAGTTTTTCGCAATTGGAAATATTGATTATTTTAAGAACTTATAATTTTCCAAGCGGTGGCTTTAAACTGCTCTGACCATGACCTAAGGAAGCACCTTTCTGATAGTGCCAATTCACTGCTTTTGTCCTGTATTTTCAGAGAGATCACCTGCATTGTCGATGGGCGTAACAGCTGACGAGTCCAAGATGGTCGTTGGTTATGGTGACACTTCTATCAAGATATACGACATGGAGACACAGGAGGTAAACAATAAATACATACTTAGATGCACTTATAGATAAGATTATGGATTTAGCTAAGTAGATGAAAAAGTAATATACCTATCTAACGTTTCTTTCAGCTGGAAAAATGTTAATATAAAATGTAGTAAGATAGCGAATGTGCCTAATTCATTATCCACGTGTACAGTAATTTATGTATCATGTATACCTCTATTACATACCGTATTAGACCGCCGAAGTGATTTAAGAATTTTCTCAGCGTGTTTAGAAAATTTATGCTCATTGGATACTTTATTACATTTCACACGCTTATTTACGTAGGTGCTAAAGCAAAATGGAAACATACACGTGTTTTATTGGTACTCGTATTAGCTGTTTAGAATAAATAGACAGACTGAGAATATACGAGTATCTAACTACGTAAATTATTTTCAATGCAATATAAATTGTAGTGAGAAGGGATTGCAGATTGAAGATTGGTGGTCTGAAGTGCATAAAGTATTTTGTACTTAAACTCTTTACTTATATGAAATCTCAATCGACTCATACTGTATCAGGTGGGATTTGAACCTACCATTGTTGGCTTTCACCAATAAGCTATAGAGAGATCTAAATCCCGAGACAGCAGACTAATACCCGTTTTCACCATCAATCCATAATTTTTGAGTGATCCCTATAGTAACTTTTGTTTTCAATCACTTAAAAATTAGGGATTGATGGTGAAAACGGGCATACCTACCTAATTCAAATGAAAATATCCCTATTTCATAGCTTTTACCTCTGCAACAAATAGATAAGTGTCATACGGAATGTATTACTACCACAGAATAAGTATTAAGTAAGTACGATTACGTTAGTTTCTGTGTAGGTACTGTAACTTAGGTACAAAGGCGATACAAAATTATTGTAACATTGCAAGTGTGTGCGGAAAATGTTACCAATAAAACGTTACAGCCTAATCTCGGTTTATTGCTGTAATAAATTCAAACATGGCTTTTATGAGATCCTCCAAAGTCGTTGATCCTCAAAAGTGAGCCTCTTTCCCCACAATATCGCCTCTGTACAGACAAAGAGGAAAAATCATATCGCGTTACAAACATAAATACAAAGTACCACGAGTACTATTCAATTATTTGTGGATGAAAAAGTAAAGCCTACGAGAAACGAGAAGTACCTACCATATACTAAAGAAATTACTGATAAAGGTCACTGTCCCCAAGTGACCTTCATTAGTTTCTGTTCATACCTTTTTTTTCAGAACTTTTTGTGTAGAGCTTTTTAGTACATACCTACTTATTTACTTTGTGCCGGAGTGACTTAGATAACTAGGTATTTTACAAGCTTTATATTGACTTCACTTGTTAGTATGTGTGGGACAAATCTTGCAACTGAATTTAAGACCAGTTCTCCTCAACCGATTAAGCTGAAATTTGGTATACTTATGTAAGTACGATGACAATGCAATGTTATGGTACCATTGAGCTGATCTGACGATGGAGTCAGGAGGTGGCCATAGGAACTCCTTAACGAAAAGGCGGAATCGCATCGAATTTGGGTTCGTTGGATATGTCGTTTTGAGCACTTTAGTGCTAGATAATGTCCAGGGTCCTGATGATGGATGTGGAAGGNGAAATCAATTCCTACTTATTTACCTACTGAATTCATAAAATTATAATAAAAAAAACTTTTTTAAAAACAAGCTTTATTCTGAAATGCCGTTGTACTAAAACGAAAAAAATAATTGTATGCAAGGTTCAAATAATTTCGAAAGCTTGTATCGCAAACAGATAAAAAAGAGGAATAAATTCCATGCGCGATACAAGCTTTCGAAATTATTTGAACCTTGCATACAATTATTTTTTTCGTTTTAGTACAACGGCATTTCAGAATAAAGCTTGTTTTTAAAAAAGTTTTTTTTATTATAATTTTATGAATTCAGTAGGTAAATAAGTAGGAATTGATTTCGCAATGAACGTTCAATGATCGCTATTATTCTTAGACATTATGAATTAAAGATTATATTAAAGATTACCACCTACGTCAGAAAATGTTTAGGTCCCCATAATATTGTGTTTTAATCCCCAAGCATAAGCTAATCCAATAAATGTTATTAGCTATTTTTATGACCCAGTACAAGTGCTAGTATATTTTCTAAAATAACGATCGGCCATAACCTTTGCTTAACAGGCCGAAGCAACATTCAAAGTGCACAAGCTGCGTCTGCAGTTCATTCCGAAGAAGCTGCAGCGTATGCACTTTGGGCAGGTTTGCGCAATGCGGTGCCATGATCAGAAGCCGTATATGTTCGCCACAGGAGCTTGGGACAAGACTTTGAGGGTAAGCGTTTTTGGTCATCATCATCTTATTACCTTGTAGGTGGACGTCTCACGCTGCGTTTTCCGATACGCAGCCTCCATTCCAGAACCTTGCTGCCCCATCGGCCGTCAGTTCTGCGTACTATGTGCCCTGCCCTTGCCACTGCAGCTTGCTAATCCGTCGGGCTATGTCAGCGACTTTAGTTCGTTTACGACGACGACATCATAAAGGTAGCAGGGAAGCGCTGGACGCAGGCCGCTACCAATCAATCAAAATGGAAAGCATTGCGGGAGGCCTATGTTCAGCAGTGGACGTCCTATGGCTGAAATGATGATGATGATAATCTTATTACCATGGTAAACCAAAGTTTAGGTAATCAAGAAAAACTTAGAATGTTGGTATTTCTTTCGATGAAGCAGATTCCTTGGGAGGTAGAGATTGCATATCATCAGTTGACTCGCAAACAAACCCAATAACCCCAAGGCTTTTGATAAAAACTTTGTTTATTTTGTTCAAAGTGCAATAGTTAGATCTAAGCCTTATTATTTCTTTAAGTTTTCATGGATAAGTATTGAAGATACAGTTGCTGTAAAAGGAACTGAAAACGTCACGCTGAAATATAACCAGTGTTGGTATACTCGCTCTATAGCGGGCTTGGTTCCCAAGTGGATCAAAGAAACAGGGGAAAATTCAAGTTTATAATTATTCCTAGCTCGAATAGTATATTCTGAAATAAATTGATTGGTAGTAATTACAAATGAATATCATGATAAACGCTAATGATAAATAGTTTGTGAAGTATAATGATGGCATGTCGATGGCACGACTAACGATGGTGTTTTTGTCCTTGATATCTTCAAGGCAACTGAGTAAATCGTTTTTGATACTCTTATTTATAAATAGCTATCAAGGTTGTAGTAAATCGATCCAAATTTACTACTGACCTTGATTGTTGGGGTGGGTGATGAGCTATACAAAAAGGCTTTTTTGTTTAATCAGGTATAATACATGACGTGAAACAAATTAACTACGTTTTGTAGGAAAATAATTTCCGTGCTTAGTACCTAGTGATTGGTCTGTTCAATTAGGTCCTACGTTTTGTAGGAAAATAATTTCCATGTTAGAGAATTGGATTGTTCAACTTGGAGGTACAGGGTACAATTTTCAGAAGGAACAAACATCTGAATCTGAATCTGAAGAAGAAGAAGGAGGAAGGCATAATTATGTTAAAAATTAGTTTAGACAAAATCCGTCATTGGTTGAGGTAAACGTGACTAGCCTGTGACCGCAACTGATCCAACTTGCTTCATAAAAAAAAGAAGATGAAAGACATAGGTAGTTTTGTTAAAAATACGTATCAAAAAAACATTAAAAAACATTTATTTAGGTAGAAGAACAGGGCACGACTACTCCCACTATCTATGTAGTATACCTAATTTTAGATGTTTTTTTACAGTCTTAAAACTCTAACAAACAAATAATTAAACCGCACCGAGTCAGTAAACTTGACACTCGCGAACAAACTTGCATAAAACATGGCGGACGACGACCGCGGACAGACTCAAAGCTCTGGCGAGATTAAAATATTTCGCTTAGCGGTTAGCTGCTCAAATTATTTATTAAGCGCTCCTTTGCGCAGCTTAAGGCGTGTCATAATGTATGATTGCGATCTACGAGCGTGTTCGCTAAGAGGCGAGCAATCGTGCTCGCAACGAACTTGCCTCGAAATTGACACTAGCAACTTGTTCGCCAGTCAGAATTGGTCAAACAACTAAGTTGAAAATTGCGTAGGTATCCAAATCAAATAACCACCACAAAAATGTGTTCTGGGATCGATACTGTCTCTATACACAGTTCAAATTTTAAGTATCACAGTGACTAAGTATGATATTGCTTTTTAAGCATCCATAAAATTTATGAAGTTAGTTTGCTGCGAACAGTCCACACTGTGAAAGAGCCCTTAGCATCGCTGCAAAAAATAATATCGTACACAGAACATGGATACTGGATGTTGTATTGCATTCCATCATGGCTAGCTGTGATGAATTTCATTTTTCACAAGCATTTTCTCGTTGTTAGTAATTTGCTAACTGTGAATAGTTCAGTTAGTTAATTAAAAGGGGGGAAAATTTTGACTCTCCTTTTTATCGGATAGGTACGTACTTTTAACTAAAACCATAAAGACTTACTATAATCCCTATAAATAACAACAGCTTAGTTCAAGACTTAAAATTTGGTATTGAATGATATGCAGTGCATAAGCATTACGCTTTTTAAAATCATCAATATATTATAACTTTTGCTTTTCACCACCAAAGGGTCATAGACTTGAACCTTGTGACCGAACCATTAAATTGATGGCTCTGGCTTTAAAGATGCTGGTATTAAATTAAACAACTTAGACACTTTCTCAAACGACTTCCATGAAATTGCTCTGAATCACTTTTTGATTGCGTAACCATTTCGTGCTATAACAAGTATTTCAAAAAGTATTTAAAAACCAAGATAGACAAATCTCGCGTTTAGTATTCTTTGAATATAGTGCCTTTACTTGTATCTATGAAGCTACCACTATATTAAATCGAAATCGTTAGAAACAAAGAATGACTGTAGGCACAACATTTTGTGATGACCTCTCAATACAGTCAGCGTCAAGTTGTCCGTGACACCCAAAGTAGCCAAAAGTTCGTAACACGTCTGTGTTACAATTTTATTGGAATAAGGTTGTATTGACAACTTTTTGGCCACTTTAGGTGTCAGGAACTATTTGACGCTGACTTTCGTGCCATGATAAACATAGTAATTAAAATGTTGACCATTGCATTTTCTTTACAGATTTGGGACGTGAGATGCAAAGTCGGCTGCGTGATGACGTTTGAAGGCGTCGACATTTGCAGCGACAGTATTGATCTTAACGTAAGTTATGTTTTTATTTTAATAAGCATTTACTAGCAGCAGAGCTCCTTAAAGGGAGCTTATGGGGACTCCCCATAAGCTCCCCTTAAGGAGACCAAGTTACGAGACCAAGACAGGAGACCGCTACCGTATAGGTACTTAGGGCTGTCTCCTGTATCTGTCTCTTTAAAAAGTAATAAATAAAATTATAAATTGAAACTCTTAAGTCTCATATTAATAAGTCCTGAAATCACATCCTGCAAACAGACGACTAACGTCCGTCTGAAAAGTTTTATTTGAAAGAGAAAAAGAGTATACCTAAGCACAAGGAACATTATAGTCCTAATAAAGTTCTCAGTCCTTACTGTCCCTGACTAATGTATCCTATCTTGAAGCGTTAGGGATATTCTTAAATAACATTTATTAGGCTATTCAGCCGGCCTCACGTGTCGAGCAGGTGATAATACCAGGCTAAACCGATGGCCCTCATTTGTTTCCAGTATCCCCATAACTATGGTACAATGGACAGCATATCAGAGTATACGTTTTTGTCGCAATATAGTACCTATTACAACTGCTTAAGGTGTCACGGTGTTTAGCTGGATGTGTCCTAGACTGTACGACCACAGTGTTAAATACATGCAGTGGTTTAACGCCTTTTATTTTCGTGACATGAAATGATACGAGAGTATGAGTAGTTTCAAAAATCTGTCGTTTTATTTACCTGTTTGGAACCGGTTTGAAATGGTCGCGTCATGTGTGGTCTCTCAACGGAATCTATGGCAGAAACTTAGATGCAACTCAAAAGTAACTAGAAGTTGCAGTTTCGTTGCGTTTCACCGTGTGTTCTGGGCCATAGATGACTTAATGAAATTAATTATGAAAGAGATACGGATATGAGAACTGTTATGGCCTGTTAGCCTAGGATGGTTGCCATTATATCGTTTTATCGAGCCATTTAATTGATTATAGATAGCCATCGTGGAGCGCTTCCTAGACTTGATCATTGCTATCTATCAGGTGCCTGCCAATGCCCAGGCCACATCCTATTGTTTTTTGCTCGGCCTGAAGAAACTCTTCTTCTTTTTTGTCGAAAAAAAAAACATTCGAGGCAAGATATTGCGATCTAAAACATTTATTTTGATGCTCACTATCAAACTGCATACAAAACAGACCGTATTTCTTCGATTTTTGACTGGTAAAAGACTTTGTAGTCACACATCTGATGTTTTCAAACTGTGGCATGAAGGAGGATCCACCCGTCGAACCGTAAGATGTTTTCGGAGGGAAACCCGTGATAAATTGAAGCGGGAATAAAAACACACTTCGGGAAATGGGAGAAAGCATTAAGTGTCTCGTTGTATCACTTTGGATGTGTTATTTTTTGAATGTGGGTTAAAAGTGTTTACGTTATGTTATTGTCTATATTTGAGATGTTAATTACTTTGGTAATAATATAGAGCTGAGACTTTCCAAGCAAATACCTATTTTAACAATAATATTTTAAAGTTGAAGAGTTTATTTGAGCTAATGTCAGGAACTACTGGTCCGATTTGAAAAAATATTATTGTTTTGAATAGCCCATTTATCGAGGAAATCTTTAGGAGTTTAGGCTATATAACATCACCCTACAGCCAATAGAGGCGGAGCAGCAAAGAAATATGTTGTCAAAACGGTTAACATTATTCGAACTATTATCAGGCCTGTTCATCTCCGCGAGTTTACAGGATACTATTCGACAAGGCCTCACATACGAGCGAACATTGACTCACGCACGCGTATTCTTGTGTATGATGGAAGAAAATAAAGGAAATGGTGTACTAAATACTGAGCAGTATTTAACTGCCTAAATAATAATAAAAACACAGAATGTACTTTTTTAAGTAGCCTCAAGACACTGAGAGGTAAACAAGTAGTTAATATTATTCATGATAATTCATGCTAAATCATGTATTTCCTCCGCCATTTTCCGCAGTTTGGCACCTCACGTCACATCATTTTACCGAAGTCAGCCCTATAACTTCGGCGCAGTGCCGATCACTGACGTTTGTCAACAAAATGGTGCTTGACTCTTGAGACAGGCTAAATTACACCATATTGTTAATGACATTGAGCATAATTTTTTTTAAATACCTTCGATAAGTAAAACTTCTGTACGTAGTACTTATTATTATTCTGTGCTATTATCACGCGTCTGAAGTCGCGGGCACAGCTAGTTTTGTTACATGAGAGGATGACCGCAACAGTGCACGGTGATGCACCTCTTTCACAGCTTTGCGTCCTGGAAAATGCAGTTCACGTCGTAAAGTTTCAGGTTGAAGAATTTCAGACTTGATACTTAGTGTTGCAGTAAAGTTTTCAAAGAACTTGACAGTTACGGTTCTGGAAGTAGGAACCTAATAATTATGATTAAGCTAATTAGGAACGATAAAATTAACCCTTAAATGGTTTTCGTCCGTTTTAAAGGACATGTCAAATAATTGCTTACAGAATCTAAATTAAAGCAATTTATCGACTTTCAAGGGATATTTTTAAAATAAGCATGATATTTTATGTGAAACACGGGGCTGTAGTTCAATAAAAAGCCGCGAATTTTAAAAATCAAGACAATTGAATAAATGCAACAGCAATGTCAAGTTTTCTCTCTTGATAAATGTGGCAATACTGTAGGTATTACACTTGTTCTTGTACTTTATTGATTGATTTTAGAATATTAACGAATAAAACTGACGGTTATTGCCAAAACTGTAAAAAAATATCGATTTTTTTCCATTAATTTCAAGGTTACAACTGTTATGTAACTTAAAACGGACAATGCCATGTATCAGTAATAAATACTCATGTTGATTTTTAGACATTTTTACCCAATTTCCCCCTTTTAGGGGTTGAATTCTGAAATAACCTAAAACACGTGTTTATTCATTTATCGATAGGAATGTATTCTGTGAAGTTTCGAATTAGATAGTGTAACTAATTTTGTTTCGCCCTACAAACTTTGGACCCCCATTTCACCCCCTTAGGGGGTAATTTTGGAAAAATCCTTTCTGATAACACCCCTAGACCCTAATAAGGAACCTACATGCCAAACTTTGTGTCTTTATACCCACCGGTTTGGGATTTATGTTGATAAATCAGGCAGTCAGTTTCTGTTTTTATATGTCAGGGTATTTTTTGATAAATTTATGTAAAATCAACAGTAAATAGTCCAGATGGATTGCAAAAGGCGCTGGATTAGCCAGATAATGATTATCAGGGATTCCTGTATTGTTATTAAGAAAAGTTGTTTTACGTTTGTTTTTCTAAACTGGCAATGTCCGCCCTAAGTGACAGGGTGTAATGCTAAATAATTGGCAATGTCCGTTTTGAGTGACATGTCATAACTTCTATACTAATTGAAATTTTTTCAAAAAGTAAATATTTTTTTCTTAATCTATCAAAACAATACCTAAATCCCAAATTTGACCATTTTTGAAGCAAGGGTTCAATGAGTGCCAATTTAAGGGTTAACAAGACATTTTGTATTTCACGTAACCAGAAGCTGCATTGAAAAAGAAAGTTCCTCTAACTGCACTCTAAAAAACATTCTTTACTAAAAAAAATTTTATACGACCTTTTCCATTTACATATTTTATTTGATTTAATAATTACGATATACAGGGTGTTTGGCGCATCGTGTGCCAAAATAATTTGGCGGATAGAATGGGTCATTTCCTATATTTTCAGCCCCCATAACACGTTCCATGCCAGGCGGCTACTATTATATTAATTTTTTTAGTAATTTCACCAAAATACCCATATCGCATCATTTAATTTCGATTTAAAAAAAAACTACTAGACGTAGCCTCAAAGTAAATATTTTGTTTTGACGTGCATTGATGTAGGGTTGCATCAAATCTAAATTTACTGGAAAATATCATCTAGTTTTTTTTAAATACAGCTTTGAAGTTTTCCGAAAAGTTAAAAATGAACTGAACATTTAAGTTTACATTGCTATAATTTTTTTTTTAAAAGATATAGCGCTCTTCGGATTTTATCAAAACTTCTCTAGTCTATCCCCATTCAAACGGTATACTAATCTTGTTTAAATAATAACAACAACTTCACAAATTCCTTAAATTAGTGCATCGACTCTACTCGGACTGATTTGCGAAATTTGTGTTTATAGCCCCTTTTTGTGTGAATAGCACGTTAAATACCTACTACAGGTAAAAATTATTTATCTTATGCAATGTAAAAACCTTTTCCCTATCGTTTTTCAATGTGGATTTCTTGAAATTAAAGACGAAAATAATTATTTTGATCGTTTATTAATTATTACATATTTTGTTCAAAATGTCCGCCTCGGCAACGTATACACTCACGACATCTTCTTCTAATTTCGACTGTTGTCGTATGCAGGCTCATTTCTCTTTTTTATTACTACAAAGGCGTTTTTTATTCGTTGTTGTAGTTCTTCTATTGTTTGAACTTCCATTAAGTACACCAGTTCTTTAGCTCGTCCCCAGACGTAAAAATCTAACAGAGTTAGGTCTGGGGAACGTGCAGGCATATACAGTGGTATAGGGCCATCTCTTCCAATCCACGAATAGAAAAAGCCTTTGTAGTAATAAAAAAAGAGAAATAAACCTGCATACGACAACATTCGAAATTAGAAGATGTCGTGAGTGTATACATTGCCGAGGCGGACATTTTGAACAAAATTTGTAATAATTAATAAACGATCAAAATAATTATTTTCGTCTTTAATTTCAAGAAATCCACATTGAAAAACGATACGGAAAAGGTTTTTACATTGCATAAGATAAATAATTTTTACCTGTAGTAGGTATTTAACGTGCTATTCACACAAAAAGGGGCTATAAACACAAATTTCGCAAATCAGTCCGAGTAGAGTCGATGCACTAATTTAAGGAATTTGTGAAGTTGTTGTTATTATTTAAACAAGATTAGTATACCGTTTGAATGGGGATAGACTAGAGAAGTTTTGATAAAATCCGAAGATCGCTAACTCTTTTAAAAAAAAATTATAGCAATGTAAACTTAAATGTTCACTTCATTTTAACTTTTCGGAAAACTTCAAAGCTGAATTTAAAAAAAACTAGATGATATTTGCCAGTAAATTTAGATTTGATGCAACCCTACATCAATGCACGTCAAAACAAAATATTTACTTTGAGGCTACGTCTAGTAGTTTTTTTGAAATCGAAATTAAATGATGCGATTTGGGTATTTTGGTGAAATTATTAAAAAAAAAAATATAAAAGTAGCCGCCTGGCATGGAACGTGTTATGGGGGCTGAAAATATAGGAAATGACCCATTCTATCCGCCAAATCATTTTGGCACACGATGCGCCAAACACCCTGTATTTATTATAAATTTTGGTAATATGAATTCTAAATACAATTCTGGACAGTTCCCGACGCACCTAGTCTTTAGTTCTATCTGCAACACTTACACGTAGCTAAATATAAGGTGCTTTTTAATTAAAAACTCTACCTTTGTCGTCGAACTTAGTGTTTCAGCAGTTTAGTCGCAGCTCGTCGCTCGTTATGAACTCTGATACGCCATAGTTCACCTCGCCTTTGAAGTATTTTTCTAGATATTTTTAGTTCGTAAACCGTTTAGAGCTGAACGTATGAGCACAAAGTGTTATAAATATAGGGTAGTTTGTAGCTAAAAGTTTTGCTACTAATAAAAGTGCATAGGTAGTTGTTTGTGCTTAGTTATTTGAAGAGAAGCAATGTGAGCTTTTAATCAATTATGCTTTACATGGTTAGTTTTGATGTCGTGAGGTTTGTGTGTTAGCTATTATTCATGCTATGACGTAGTGAAATTACCTATTAAGATGGGAAATTAATTCGGACCTTTTATACTGAACTTATTTAAGCTACTGATTTAAACTTTTTTTATTTTCTTGTATTCATCCTACGTAATGCATCTAATTTGGCAGAATGTTATGGGAACTGTGAGTGTAGGGCGTGTAGTCGAATTTTATCATTCCAGTTGCGAATACGAATGTTTACAAGTTTTATATGAGAGAGAATATGAGAGATACCTAGTATGTGAGAGCTATCTAGGTTTAATTTAGTGAGTAATAAAGTGAGTGAAATGATATCCTGTTCATTTACTCGTCAAGAAAAGAGAAAAAGTTTACCTAGAGACGGATACATGGCCGAATTGTTTTAGGCATGTGCGTGCTCTGAGTATTAATTACGGGATTACCAATATCTTTGTCTTAAATAAGGGTCTTATCGCCTGTTCTCATCCATCACCCTATTTTTGTCCAAATAACGGTAGTCATTCTTTTAAAAATAGTACGAAAATAACTATACCAATATACTAACAAAACCGAGTCTTCTATGAATATCTGGATGTACCTAATAAGTATTTTCCAATGTTTTGTAGAGTGTTCCATCGCTTTGACGCGAACAGGTTAATCTCATATCTCATATTTTATAGTCATCATCATCATCATTTCAGCCATAGGACGTCCACTGCTGAACATAGGCCTCCCCAATGATTGCTATAATGAGTTCTAAAGTTGCACAGCGTGCTATAGGGCTATGCTTGATGTTTATTTACGAGATCGAAACTGAAATGAGGAGATCCATAAACGAACTAGTCACTGACATAGCCCGATGGATTAGCAAGCTGAAGTGGCAATGGGTAGGGCATATAGTACGCAGAATCTCATGAAGTTTAATATTGTTGCTAGAGAGAACAATGCATCGCCGGCAGCTGGCTGCCCACAGAAGCACTGGGAGTGTGGGATTTGACAGCTAGGAAGAGGCTGAACATCATCAGGGTTCAGAATAGACGTCCTGACGTGGATGGAGAGTACATCTATGCTTGTCGCTATTGGAGATCCAACCAGGTATTTTAAGTTTTTATTCTTGGGAGTAGACCTCTTACTCGTATTACTGTCACTAACTGTTAAAGGAGTCTGTAAAGGAGCCTTAATGATTTCTTATTTGTAGTTAGCCGGTGTAGTGATAAGTACCTATGCTGATGCAGTGTTTGACTGATATTTTTGTATCCTTATTTATTTATTCTTAACGAATGACCACCAACAGTAGCAGCAGCTTATTTTTATATTAATTTGAGGCAAACAATAATTCATGTTATTAAATTTTGGCAATATGTTAGCAGGAATAGATATCATCAAAAGTTCTTACACATACGATAAATTAACAATCCATTACTTCCACATCATTACAAAGATATAATAGATCAAAGTCTATTCCCTGATAATCTTCCTAAGCTACCCAAAATAACCGTATTTCTCTGAAAAGTAATCAATTTTACACGAGAATAATTGCTTTTATTCGCTGACGTCATATCGCGAGCCGAGATGAGGGCTGTCACGAGCACGACTTCCGAGGTATTCCCTTTAATCCCTCGGGAACAAAGTGCTAATATTGAAGAAGTTTTCGGGATAGATGCGGTCAGGATATCTCCAAGTTTGAATGTCTTCATTTACGTTAGATTGACGCTCTACAGATGGGGACGATGGTTGATGGAATGACGAACTTTTGTAGTGATGTTAAGATTCATTTTCATTTTCCTTTTTTCGCGATGTCAAAATATTTCGTATAAATGTTGATGGCCTTGTGGTTTGCGAGCTGTTATTAATACCTGTAAAAAAATAACAAAAGATGTAAAGAACATTTACAGTAATGCTAGTCTTTAATGAAATACACGTGCCTTTTTCAGCATATAAAAGTCAGTCACCCAAGAGTCTGATGACAGAAATAGATAGAGCCTAATCGATAACATCATTAATATTCAGTTTCGAGTTAAATGAACGAGTGAATACATACCTACCTGTGACATCACTATCTCTGATCGGTGATTACGGCTGGATTATTTTCGGTAAATTGCCGAAATACCTGTAAAGTGACGCAAAACAAATGATCTAGTATAAGAACGGCATAAAAAATTGTGGATTTGTTTCCAGAATGTTCCCATAATCGGTAGATTACAAGAGTAAAGCGATTTCCAATTTGATCAATTATAATACGACGATAAATCTTTATCAACTTCAATAATCGAATACGATTTGTTTTTATTTGTTTTGGAGAAGTAATTTACAGAAATAACTTTGATTAGAAAGTGCCTAACTTCGTAATGCCCGATAGGCATATCTTAATCGAAAGTAAAAGTAATAAATGATACTTCAACGATTATTTTTATACTTTAATGGCTTTAGTTAAAGTTGTTTTCTCTTACAGTTTAATCGTAAAGGCAAGTATGCCGTCATCGGTGGAAGTGGTACCAATTGTGTTGAAGTTATCAACCTTCACAACAGGTTATTAATTTAATCACTTTTAGGAATGGAATTTACCTACTCTTATTTTATAGACTTCAGTAGCAGAATTAAAGGCTAACGCTGAGTTGTACCACCCAACTTTGACAGTAACTATAACGATAACCGGTGTATTTTGTATGGAGTATGACAGATTTTTGACGTTTGTCAAAGTTAAAGTAAGATGGTGCAACCCAGCCTTAATGTGGTAAAAAATGTGTGTCAGATATCTTTTATGAGGCATTTTTTTTGCCAGTAGATCCTGATTATCTTGCTACATTACTTAGGAATAGCTTGCTTGACAAACATTTATTACAACAGAACTTAAATAATTCCCAAATTCTCAGGTACATCACGTGTTCCTACCCCGCTCCCGGCACAGTTCTCGCCATAACAAGCCACGAAGAGCGCATCGCGTTCGGCGGAACCGCTCCAGTATTCAACATCGTCTCCTTCCACGACCCTAAGCACGAGAAGTACGAGTCTCCCGAAGACGCCGAATATGACATCACTAAGTCGGTGACTTTGTTCCGTGATGATTCTGACAGTATATGCTCGAAGTCAGAAGTGGATGGAACCAAGTCGGTAATGGCCGCCGCGTCGAACGCCGCGTCCATGACGGCGCCTTCGATGATCAGCCGTGTGTCTGTCGGTGCCGCTGCTAGCCAAAAATTGGCTTGATAATACTAATATTAGTATTCTATACGCATTAAAAGATAACGTTAATTTTGTAACAAGCTACAAGGAAGGCATCTCGGTTAACGAAACGCTCGTGTTTGTAGCATCGTCTTTTTCCAAAATCCTATGCACGTAATGTACGATATTACTAAGTCGGTGACGTTGTTCCATGATGATTCGGACAGTATATGCTCGAGGGCAGAGGTGGATGGAACCAAGTCGGTGACGGTGCCGCTGCTAGCCAGAAATTAGCTTGATAGTATTATTTTAGATGTAATTTTCTTTTTTTTTTTACTGGATTGTAGTGTTTTTGAATATAAAATATTGATGACGACACGGCCTTTTTGTGTACCTACGGCCATTTAAACTTGTACGCGTTCAAAGATAACAGCAGTATTGTGAGCGTATAGTAACAAACATCATAAATTTTACTTTCTTAGAAGTCAGTTCTTGTTATTACAGTCTTTTAAGATTGAAAAACTGTGTTCACAAAGTTTCAGGCTTTTTGTAGACTCTTTTAAGTCTACAATTTGGTCAGTTTTGAATAAGACATTTTTTGTCTGCCTGCGTAGTCATTCTAAGAGTAGGCGCACACCGTTGATTTTTAGTTGGCCGATAGTTGTGCCCGATTTTAAATTGTATGAAGAATCGGCCAAATCGAATCGGCGTAGTGTATACAACGTGTCCCAAAATTCAAGGATAAGCCGGCGCCGCAGGATGGACATAGTCATGACTACTTTAGGAAAAATAAGAAAAAAAATCTATCTCAATTATTTTTTAAGTTACACAATAAATTATGAAATTCGTCGAAAATTGACACCCCTTATGATATTTTACCTTACCACGACCACATTTTTTCAAATACTTCTGTTTTTTTGTTTGTATCGGCAACTTAAGTAGTGCTGCTGTCCTCTCCAATTCTTAAAACCATCAGAATCCTAGCAGTTTTTACACAAAAGTTAATCAAAATATGATATTTCCTTAAAATTTTGAACGATTTTTACTTTCACTCCACTTTGACTCGTCGTTTTGTAATAAAACAGTATGAACACTACTGCGGCAAGTTTATTATAAAGTTGACGCAACTATCCAAGATTCCAAAATGGTATAATACTCTAAGAAAACTAGTCGCAAAAAAGATATGCGTACCATTTTTACAAGCACTTCGCTTGTTAGTAGTATGGGATAAATCTTGCAACTAAATTTAAAATCAGTTCTCCTCAACCAATTGAGCTGAAATTTGGTATACTTATGTAAGTACGATGACAATGCAATATTATGATATCATTTAGCTGGATGGAGTCTGGAGGTGGCCATAGGAACTTCTAAATGAAACGGCGGAATTGCATCTAGTTTAGGTTCCTTAGATTTGTCTTTTCAAGCACTTTGGTGCTAGATGATGTCCAGGATCCTGATGATGAAGTCAAGAGGTGGCCAGGAGCTGGCCAAAGGAACTCCTAATCGAAATGGCGGAAGATTATCGAGTTTGGGTTCGTTGGATTTGACTTCCCGAGCACTTGGACCATGAGATTGAGAAACAACTAAAAAGTGTAAAATAAAGTTATAATAAAAAAAAATTTTTTAAAAACAAGCATTAATGCGAAATTTTACGAAAGAATTTAACGATAAAAATAATTGTATGCAAGGTTCAAATAATTTCGAAAGTTTGTAGCGCAAACAGAAAAAAAGAGGAATAAATTCCATGCGCGATTATAACTTTATTTTAAACTTTTTAGTTGTTTCTCAATCTCATGGCCCAAGTGCCCGAGAAGACAAACCCAACGAACCCAAACTCGATAAGCTTCCACTATTTCGTTTAGGAGTTCCTATGGCCAGCTCCTGGCCACCTCTTGACTTCATCATCAGGATCCTGGACATCATCTAGCACCAAAGTGCTTGAAAAGACAAATCTAACGAACCTAAACTAGATGCAATTCCGCCGTTTCATTTAGAAGTTCCTATGGCCACCTCCAGACTCCATCCAGCTCAATGATACCATAATATTGCATTGTCATCGTACTTACATAAGTATACCAAATTTCAGCTCAATTGGTTGAGGAGAACTGGTTTTAAATTTAGTTGCAAGATTTATCCCATACTACTAACAAGCGAAGTGCTTGTAAAAATGGTACGCATATCTTTTTTGCGACTAGTTTTCTTAGAGTATTATACCATTTTGGAATCTTGGATAGTTGCGTCAACTTTATAATAAACTTGCCGCAGTAGTGTTCATACTGTTTTTTTACAAAACGACGAGTCAAAGTGGAGTGAAAGTAAAAATCGTTTAAAATTTTAAGGAAATATCATATTTTGATTAACTTTTGTGTAAAAACTGCAAGGATTCTGGGGGTTTTAAGAAGTGGAGTGGACAGCAGCACTACTTAAGTTGCCAATACAAACAAAAAAACAGAAGTATTTGAAAAATTGTAGTCGTGGTAATGTAAAATATCATAAGGGGTGTCAATTTTCGACGAATTTCATAATTTATTGTGTAACTTAAAAAATAATTGAGATAGATTTTTTTTCTTATTTTTCCTAAAGTAGTCATGACTATGTCCATCCTGCGGCGCCGGCTTATCCTTGAATTTTGGGACACGTTGTATAGCGCACTCCCATACCTACATGCCCATACTGATCAACTGCCCGACTAAACTATCAGCCGACGAAAAATCAACGGTGTGCGCCTACTCAAAGCACACGCGAAAATCTTCAAACTGTTGACCGAAAATAGTGAATAAATAATTAGAATCTCCGCTTCTCCGCCATTGATTAAACAAGATTGATGAAACAGCGCAGTGAATGAACAAATGTATTACTGAATTTCAATGCTCCAAGGACAAATTACAGCTAACACTCCACAACCATCGATCCGAAAGCTTTTACCGAGGCGAAATTGACACACAAATAATGATAACATTTCAAGTTACGCTGTCACGCAAACAGCCCATTGGCTTCAAAGTAATCCGTTTCAATTTCGTTGAAGAGAATCGTCATTTCAGAGCGCGACCAACAACTCGGGAAAGCATTTTTGCCCCCATTATAATTCTCAAAGCTTGTTTTAACCAAATTGGACCGCCGCAATAACAATAAAGACCGCTGGAAAATGTGTTGAAACTCAACATTGAAGCTTCGCAAAGGCAAAAACAATTGCACAAGTTCTCAGAAAAAAGTTTGTGCTACATTGAAAAATTAGAGTTGGCATTGCGAATTCAGTCGAGGCTACAATGGCGAACAAGTTGCAATAGAATTTAAATAAAGAAAGCGTTCTAACAGTGTGAACGGTGCGCACGGCGTTGGTGAACTTTCAACTTTTAGCTTGTGTTGAAGGTAGGCCCCCTGGTTCCCCTCCTCCGGTGTGGGGGGCGGCATTCCGTACTTGGAGCGAATATTTACAGCACAACCTAAATATAGCGTGGCTCTGCTCAGCTGGTACTGCCGGGGGATGGTGGGAGGGTAAACATTCCCCCTTCGCCTGGCGCGGTGAGCCACTCGGCCGCTGGCAGCCGCCGCGAGCGGACGTGTCTCAATGGCGGCCGTGACCGTATCAAGGGGTAGCCGAGCTATAAAGTAGTTTTCAAGGTTACGCCATTAAGGGTTCGGACAAACCAACGCGATCACAGCGCGATCAGCCGGCGTGCAGCGATGGCGACCAGACCTAAATGCATTGATCGCCATCGCTGCACGCCGGTTGATCGCGCTGTGATCGCGTTGGTTTGTCCGAACCTTAATTTCGACATGCCGACGCTCTATAAATGGTCGGCCGATATAAACAGACGCCTAACTTAGCGTAATCGTTATTATGCCTACTTTGAATGTAAAAATGTAGCAATGAGATTACTTTACATGGTTATTACACATTATCTATAAAATAGGCAGTAACATACACTGATATTAACTATGAATGGATAGGGTATGAGTAGGGATACCAATAGCTGTTCGGACCATTGAAGTAATATTAGTACGTAGTAAATTATAACTCAATGGTTCGGACTCTATTAATTTTTATGTATCAGGCTCTTAGGATGTTCTTCATAGCTACAACGCGTTGACTTGGAAAAGCATGATAGTCCGACGATACGAGAATGATATACTAAAAAGGTTGCACATTAAATCATTTTCATACATGTTTAACTCACAACATTAAATACAAACACGCTATTCTGCTTGTTTAACCAATTCGAACGTTATATAAATACGTCACGAAGCGAAAAGTTGAGCTCGTGCTAACTCGGCACCAAATAAACAATTATAAAACTTTTAGCCTGTTTTAATGTAATCTCTGCTTTAATGTCATCATAAACAAATGACAAAACCAGATAAAATGGGATAGCGTCTAACAAAACATCTGACCTGGACGAAGGTTAATAATTTCGTTTTCATCCGCGCATTTATTTTTAATTTGCAGAAGCCCATAAAATTGTTTTTGTAAATGGCGGCTCTGTTTTGTTACGGACGTTGTAATGTACAGTCTACGATATTTCATTTGTTTTTTTTGTATTCGCCGGTTTTGGTACAAAGCCATTTTTTATCTCGCGCTCGGTACAATTTTAAATGCCAAAAGTTGATTCCGAAATTGGTTCGGCTGTCTCAGATTTTAGCGACGGTCATGGTTTGTTATACTGTTGGAACTACTCCAGTTCTAACACATAATTTTCTTTTTGAGGTTACGCTGTTATATAGTTCAACTTGCTTGATGGAACATACTCTATAGATATTAATAAGACATGGAATGGAAGTAATGTTTGTAGGTTTTTATAATTCGGATAGCTGTGAGTGATGTGACACACAAATAACAAACAAATAACGTGACATACACATACAAATGTGTGTAAGTTTCCCTTACTAAAATGATTTATTTAATGACCAAGATCGTTTCCAAACTGACACAAAACCACTATAACCGTAGTTTAATGATGTCATGCAATCTATTACCTCTTGCATGTGCCTTGTTATCATAAGCTTTCCTTCCTGAACTCCTTCTATAGTACACGGCATGTTTTACAACCG